CTAAATTTTTGGATTGATTATGTTTAGTAACTTTATATATGAATTTTATAGAAATTTTTTGGTTGAATGTGATAAATTATGAACATTGATGGATATAATTTCAATTATTTAAATTTAACATATATTTAAATGAAATTATTTTTATTTTATATATATTAATGATTTGATTATATACTTTTAATATCAGTTTATTAATAAAAATAAACTTTTATGAGTTTACCATCTGAGTTTATATCATTCTTATCAGTTTGTTTAAATACACGAGTTTCAAAACTTTACTTTGAAATGAATATTATATTAAAGAGCACAGGCAGCATAATTCAAGTTGAGTAGCATTGAATTGAAAACAAAGACGTGGAAAAGAAAGAATAACAAAGAATCTTCTAACTGCCTAATGTAGCACACTAATAACAATTAAGGTCGGTCATCGTTACTAGTCACTGAATCAGCGTAGCTTAATTTAGGCTTTTATTAATACAACTTGTCACTTGATTGATATTCCCTTGTTCAAGACTCAATCAAACTCGGTAGTGCGCCCCATTTGAGATACTCTTTCATATTATTTGATATTTTTATAAGTAATTCTCACATATAGTTAAGTCATTAAATTCATTCTAAACTGATAAAAATTTTTAACTTTATTCTTATTTAAATGATATGATTTAACTTATCAAACTTCAAGTAAAAATAAAGATAAAATGAATAAAAAATTACATCTAAAATATAGGTGAGAGGGAGGGAGTATGTTATAATTTAAACATGAAAACCAAAATATCTAAAACATATAAATATAAAAGAATATGCTGGTTAAAAAAAAAAGAATAAAATATAAAAGGCAGAAAGCGCATGTCCAAGAAAAAGCGCGTGGCTTGGAGACAGTCAGGGGTTGGGGGGGGGGAGAGAGCGAGAGAGAGAGAGAGAGAGAGCGTGGGAGGCCATACAAATGAAACAAGAACCGACGCAGGAGAGGTCAATGAGTGACTGGGGCGAGGCGTCGAGGGTGGGCGGTGTCAGGCTGTCAGGTCAGGTATGACGTGGAAGTGAGTCAGCTCATTTTGCCCAGATGCACCGCACCCACGTCTTTCCTCTCCCTTATCCCTAGCCTTTCCCTTCCTCTTGTGGTTCCCCACCCTCCATTATTTCCCCCTCCCTCACCCTCTTATTCTTTCATCTTTTTAATAATTACCATCTTGAGTTTAACAACTAATTTAAAAATATTAAAATTTTTAATTAAATTAATTATTCATTACAAATATGTATTGTTTTTTAAACTATTATTTTTTATAATGTGTATTGAATTATTAAAATTATATATCCTAAAAAATGATAAGAAATAAAGTGAATTAAAAATCTTATGTTTAATATTAAATTTAATTTTTAATCAATTCTTATATTAAATTTAGTAGTTAGCGCTTCTTTCCATATACAATCCCACACTTTTTGCCCAGTCCCACGTCACCTTTCCAGTCCCGCGGCCTCCCTATCCACTCCTAACCTATTCTGATTCTGTGATTGCTCCGTTGTCATGTCGCCGACCTCATTCTGATTCTAATTCCTTTGTATAAGTAATACGAGGGCTTTTTTACCGAAATACGATAAACAGTAAAAGTTTTTACCAAAATACTGTACTTTTAAAACTATTTACTAATATACTATATTTAAAATCGTTCTTGGCAAGAATAATTTTTAAATTACATACAAGTCGTTCTTGGCGTGAACAATTTCACTTTTTATTTTTTTTATTTTAAATGAAAAAGTGAAATTGTTCTTGGCATGAACGATTTCAAAAATCGTTCACGCCAAGAACAATTTCACTTTTCCTGTTCATTCTCGTTCAACATGCCTTAGTTGTGTTGATTATCGAGATAGGGTTGCTCGCGACCATCGTAACATTTTACTTGCACTTAGAGAACAACGTTTTAATGTAAACCCTCAGCCTGCTCCACCAACAATTGAGTTGCCTCGGCCACAAATTCCTCGTGATAGACCAAGCAAGCGACGAGGTGGTTACTTGTCTACCCAACCTATAATTGAAAACGAAAATGCAAGGGAATAGGAACCTCCAATTTTTACTCAGGCTTCTGACATATCACCGTCACCATCATCCCCCTTCATCTCTATCGATCCTACACAACTTGAGTCTCATTACATGGCACCTTCATCATCATCCCCTTCCAACTCAGCCAATCCTTCTCAATTTCAACCATTCATGACTTTATTAGATAATCCTGCATTATTTTCAGCTGAATACAATGCTTCTATTTTTGAACATGGTGGAACATCAAATGAAGCATTTGTCACTCCTTGACAATCTATACATTTAAATGAATCACCTTGATTTGATTTGAACACGCCAACTATACAAACAAATGAGACATTTGAAGCTCAAGAAATTGACATACAACAACAACGCCCACAACGTATGAGAAGAAGGCCAAGATGTGGTACTGGAAGTCACTATCAGTAAGGTAGATAATTTTTTCTTTATAAACTTAAACTTTATTTATTACTTTTTATTTTTAATCTTATACTTATTTCATAATTAGTTTTAACATCATTGTAACATTTTTCTCTCATTATATAGTCATGATTTTGTCATTCAAATAATTGATAAATCATTATACTAATCATTTTAATCAGGAGAGAAGGGGAGAAGTCATTCAACAACAGATGAAGTTTTGAAGTTGTTCACCAGAAGAACGATTTTAATTCACCTCATGCACATCAAGGACAGATTATGAAGAAGTCATTCACCAGATAAATGACTTTAAAAATTATTCACCTGAAGACCGATTTTAAGTGTAATATATTAGTAAATACTTTTAAAAATGCAGCATATTGATGTATAATTTTACAGTTTGTAGTATTTTGGTAAAAAAGCCTGTCGTGTGGTATTTGTTCGGTTTGACAAGAAATCAAGTATTGGGCATGGGCCTTTTATGCCTGTAATAATAATTTAGTCTTACAACTTAATTGCTACAATTAAAAATTTACAATCAAAACATAACTTTTTTTGTTACGTACTGTTTGGTATGAGATAGATAAAAAGAAGAGGAAATGATAGAAAATTTCATCAAGCTCTATTTGAAAAAAAATTAAAAAAAACCGGGGTTTTCAAATTTTAATCCAATATAAGTCAGATGAAGTAAAATTTACTATATATGTTATAGCCTTACCGGAGCATCGTCAATGATTCTTATTTTTGCATGTAAGAGTGAAATCGTTCTTGGCGTGAACGATTTCAGAAATCGTTCACGCCAAGAACGATTTCACTTTTTGATTTAAGAAAAAATTTTAAAGTGAAATCGTTCACGCCAAGAACGACTTGTGTGTAATTTCAAAATCGTTCTTGCTAAGAACGATTTTAAGTGTAGCATATTGGTAAATAGTTTTAAAAGTGTAGTAATTCGGTAAAAAGTTTTACTGTTTATCGTATTTTGGTAAAAAAGCCGTAATACGAGCACTAAATAGCATAAATTAAAATATTAGTTAAAATTAGTTAAAAATAATAGATATATAAAATATATAAATTTTTTAAAATATATTTTTATTTATAAAGATGACAAGCAAGAAAAAATAAATGACAGAGAATGAACTGCAAAAAAAAAAAAGAGACATATAATTAATTAAGAATAAAAAATGTATTATACTTAAAAATATTAACACAAATTGTTATTTATATAGTCGTATAAGACTATAAGGATTAATACAAAAATAATCTTGAACCCAATTTAATGATAAATCCCTAATCTCACCTACGTTATCCATTCGATTAAATGCATTAAATTAAATTCTCTATGCAATATTCACTGTGCATGCACCTTAATCTGTTTGCATGAAGATGTGATAATTCACACTCATTGACTCTCTAACGCGTGCTTGGATTAGTTTTTATTTAATTGTCCTGATTACTAACTTCATGGATAATATCCAACTCATGCTAAGAACAATAATGGAGTAATAAGTAAATAAAAATAGGATAATTCAACGAACGCGATCCACAACATGATAGGTGTGCTGAATCCGAGGTCTGGCTGGTCCCTAGTAGTACATCATTATATTATATTTATCCGAAGTAAATATAATATTTACTTAACTAATTTAAGTAGATTAAGAGAATAAGTTAAGCTAGTTATTTACACATCCGGTCTTTAATATAGGATCCAATTATTGAGTTAGTTTTAGTCCTAAATATAAGACCCATTTATCATATTTATCATTTTTCTCTAAATTATCCTTATAAATACTTCCTCAACCATAATCAAGTAGAAAATAGAGATGAGATATTAAGAAAGATGATTATGGTGTTTTAGGAAAAATGTGTTATATTTTTTTATAATTAACTAACTTACCTAACTTCTTTAATCTAATCAAATTAGTTAAATAGGTCTTATATTAAGAATTAAAAGAGTACAATAAAAGGGTGTTGTTTTTTTAAATATTCTTACTAATCAAGTGTATTGGCTAGAACTATCATTATTAAAAAGACTATATTAGAAAAAAATATATAAATATGAGAGACAAAATAGATTGAGATCTTCCTGAAATAAAAGTTAAAAGAGGTATTGGTAGTACTCCTCCGGTCCTTAATATAGGACCCAATTCTTGAGTTAGTTTTGGTCCTAAATATAAGACCCATTTATTATATTTATCAATTTTCTCTAAATTACCCCTATGAATACTCCCTCAACCATAATCAAGTAGAAGAGGGAGAGGAGGTATTAAGAAAGATGATTATGGTATTTTAGGAAAAATGTGTCGCTTTTCTTATAATTAACTAATTTACCTAACTTTCTTAATCTAATCAAATTAGTTAAATGGATCTTATATTAAGGAGAGGAGGAGTATATATTTATATATGCGGCTCAACTTTGGCCTCCTATCGTTTCGACACGTGGCGCATCCGTCAGCGAGCCCTTTTCTTTTCTTTCTATATTCCTGCTTCCTGAGAAAAATCGCGTCTCATGTTCCTCCTTTATATACCGCCCTTCCCCACGTCAATATTTCCCTCACCCTGGAATCTCGTCTCGTTCCCTCATTTCTTTCTTTATCCCTTTTTTCTCTCTGATTCCCTCACACTATTTTCTTTCCTTATCCTTTCCTTGAGATTCGGTTGTGAAGAATTTAGAGGATAATTCAGAATTTCGATTTGGTTGGTGAAGAATTTTGTTTCCGGCTATGGAGGTTTCGGTGATTGGGAGCTCTCAAGTCAAGCTCGGGAAATCTGAATTCGCTTATAGGGAAGTGCGCTTCTGTCATTTAAAGGATACTTTCTACCTTTCGAATTCTAGGATCTCTTTTGGTCGGAGTCCCACATCGACGAAGGCCGGGTTGCGCTTAGCTGTGAACGCTCTTCAATTTGATGCCATTCACCAGGAGAATCGCTCTCCTTCTCCCAAAACATCTAAATCGGTGAGTTTTCTTTGCCAAAAATTTCTTATTCATTGCGTGCTGCGTCTGGTTGCTGACAAAGGATTTGATTTTCTTTACTTGCTTTTAATTGCTCTGGTTAATCGTCTAGCTTGATGCCTGGAACTGTATCTGTTTGAGTTAGAAATTTTCAAATGTAACACTTTACGAAAAAGGCTTCTATACCTATTTCATGTTCATTTGCCACATGTTTTGCGGTTCTTCTGAGCACTAATGTTCCTTCGGATGGTGTCTGGTGAATTTTATGGGAGAAAGCAAACTTCCGTTTTGGAATAATTGCGGCTTTGACTATCAATTGTCTTTGAGTTTTCATTTATAATGCATTACCGTCCGGGAAAAGTCATAAATGGACAAAGATAAAATTGTGCTCTTAAGAATAAGATATTAATGCCTGAAGGGCGTTTTCATAGTTGGGGGCCGACGGTACATGTAGACCTCGCATTTCCCTCTTAGGATTAATTGAATTCTCTATTGATTATAGACACTGGTCAATAAAATATCCATAAAACTTAATACTTCTTTCAAATCTTTTGTGGCATTTGTGTTAGATAAGACAAAGTTTTGTCTAAATAAAATAACTCAGTATCCAATGTCAATCTTACGACAAGAAGAAGAAACTAACATTCTAGAAACGTGGTGGTGCAGCTGAATGGTGTTAGGTTATTTGTGGGGTTGCCCCTCGACGCTGTTTCTCCTGACTGCAACTCAGTAAACCATGCTAGAGCAATTGCAGCTGGTCTGAAAGCTTTGAAGCTACTAGGAGTTGAAGGTGTTGAGCTTCCAGTTTGGTGGGGAAATGTTGAGAAAGACTGCATGGGAGAATATGAATGGTCAGGTTATCTTGCAATTGCTGAGATGGTTCAGAGTGCAGGTCTCAATCTCCATATAACGCTTTGCTTTAATGGATCTAAAACACCAAGGATTCCCCTACCCAAGTGGGTGTCTCAGATTGGTGATTCGGAGCCAGGCATTTTCTTTACAGATCGATCAGGACAGCAGTATAAGGAATGCTTGTCGTTTGCAGTTGATGAACTTCCAGTTTTCAATGGGAAGACTGCGGTGCAGGTCTACCAGAGTTTCTGTGAGAGCTTCAAATCTACGTTTTCTCATTTTATGGGCTCTACAATTACGGTGAGAATTTTCTGTTCTGGAACCATTTTTTACACTCTTAACAGAGTTTGTTGATGCATATGACTGATAAAGTATTAATTTTTTGCAGGGAATTTCCATGGGTTTAGGACCTGATGGAGAATTACGCTATCCATCTCACCACAGGCTACCAAATATCAATGGAGTCGGGGAATTTCAGTGTTATGACCAAAACATGCTTCGCATTCTTAAAGAACGTGCTGAAGCATCAGGAAATCCTTTGTGGGGGCTTGGTGGTCCTCATGATGCCCCTAACTATGGCCAATCACCAAATTCCGGTGGCTTTTTCACCGATGGTGGCTCATGGGAGTCTCCTTATGGGGACTTCTTCCTTTCCTGGTATTCTGATATGCTTGTAGCTCATGGTGATCGACTCCTTTCCATAGCAGCTAAAACTTTCGACGGCGGAGTTTCAGTATATGGCAAAATGCCCCTGATGCACTCTTGGTACAGAACCCGATCTCATCCTTCTGAGCTAACTGCAGGATTCTATAACACTGCTAACAGAGATGGTTATGAATCGGTTGCAAAGATGTTTGCTAAGAACTCGTGTAAGATGATTTGTCCTGGAATGGACCTGTCAGATGCAAACCAGCCAAATGAAACCCTCTCTAGTCCTGAGTTGTTGCTTGCTCAGATTATGGCAGCTTGCAGTGAGCATGGGGTCAAAGTTTCAGGGCAAAATTCTTTGAGTGCTCGAGCTCCAGGGGATTTTGAACAGATCAAGAAGAACTTATCAGGAGATAGTGTGTTGGACTTGTTCACGTATAATCGGATGGGGGCTTACTTCTTTTCGCCCGAACATTTTCCTTCGTTCACCAAGTTTGTTCAGAGCCTTAATCAACTAGAATGGCATGCAGATGATTTACCTGCTGAAGATGAAGAAGCCGCTGAATCCTTAGTGAAAAGCTCAGAATCAAGCAAGCATTTGCAAGCAGCCTAAAAGTGATCAATCCGTATCTATGTTAATCATGTATATAAAAATTTGTTGTAAAATTGCTTAAGAACGGGTTGTCTTCAAAATGCAATCAGGATGCATAATGACATCCTGGATTACGTAGCCATTGTTACATACCTATTATGGCAGTTTTTTTTTTTTTTAAAGTTCTGTATAATAATTTGGGGTTATGGTATCAAATCGTATTGAGGGAAGGGGCTAGGTACATGAGTTATCACGCTCTTTATACATATTGGATTTTAAGAGAATTTTTCAATCTAATGGGGAGAATTTATCGTCTTGAAATCCATGTTACGATTATGTGCATCAAGAGTTTAATTAGTTGGCGTTTGACTTCGCTTCTGCGAAAATATGTTGATGGGAAATAATTTATTCAGGCATCAAGATTTTTCTTATTTCCTTCAGCGTATGGAATGAAGGATGATCTACATTTCTTTATCAGGTATCGTAATGGATAGCAACTGCGATTGTAACTGACCAAAAAAAGTATTAAATGAACTGCTTGGACGTTCCGTGTTGGCTTCAGATTTTGTCTCTTTTTGCCCATTCCTTCTAATTAATTAATACATGCGCGCGATACTTTAATCAAATATGTGATTCTGAGAGAGAGCTCAAGTGAGCGTCATCCAGGATTTGTGAAAAGCCACGGATTAAAAATTAGAATAAATTCTAGGAATTTATAAAATTAGTTAGAACTAGTAAAATAACCTTTTTGAAATATTCAGTCATGAAAATCTATGCTTTTTTAATTGCTAGGACGATAGACAACAAACTTGAACCTATGTGCAAAGTGAACAGGATACACGTGTGGAAGAAAAGGGAAGTTCCAAAACATCATTCTAATTTCACGAGATCTTTCCTGATCTCATCAATCCCTTTTTACTGCGTCCAATTACAATCTACAAATCTATCAACTCACTTCCCACCAGGTAATCCTAAACCTTACAGCACCAGATGCATGAACAAGAAGTAACCACTAAACATCGTCAACTGGCAACCTGCAAAACTGTACAAGGAAGAAAACACAGCGCAGGAAAAAAATTAGACCCTTGACTAACGATCTTTTTCTATTAGTTATCAATATCATCTATGCTATAAGTTCTCCAAGCAAAACTAATTCAGTCTTAAGACACTTCCCAGGCACAGCATGGCTCTGCCAAACGACCATGGCCAGTGTGCTATTGGTCTTGCTAAAGAATATTTGTTGAAACATGCATCATTCACGAGCAATTTTGGTTTCAAAGCTGCTGAGGCAGGTTGCAAAAGCCTGAAATGCTGAGATGGGGTACTGGTAATCCATTGTAAACAAATCCTTCCCTACTTTTCCAAATTGGAGGATGATCTTCTCATGTTCTGCTCCAGAAGGTCCATTTCCTGGGGAAGCTACCAGCTGAAAGTTCTTAACTGAAGCAACTGTCACTCGTCCTTTGAAGTTCAAACACCAACATTGGAGCTGCTCGTGCCACCTTGGAGGCTTGCTTATTAACACTAGTGCCTCATCATTGCCCCGGGATCTAGATTTACAGTTCTCAACCCTATTTGATTTTGACCTAAAAAATGGGAATGATGGAACTTTTTCAACATTGGTCGGAGAAAACCCAGTCTGTGCAGCTTGTCTCACCCCTCCTGGTTGAATTGCAGTGGCAGGAGTGGTGTCCATGACATATTTCATTCTCCTTGGGCCCCTGCTTGTTACATTACAAGCACCATGTAAGTATGCATTGTCTGTATACTAAAAAAATTACACAAGATATAGGCAAAGACAATTATAGTGTAACAACTCCTTTCAAGCCCGCGAAAACCTCTGTATGAACTTGTTGTAGTTGATGCTTACCTGGAGCCTAGCACATTTAATTCATATAATATGTGTGCCACTGGACAGTTACCAGTAGAAACCTTGGGTGAAACTTGATTTAGATTTCCCAGTCTAGCGGAGCGGCTTTTTGTAGTCTTTGCCCCTTTGTGAGGTGATTGGGCATCATAAATTGTGAACTTCGTTCCCAGAAAATTTGATCTTATCAAAGAACCCAAAGGTGAGTCTTGGCACAGAAATGAATGAAGAAGAATAAATCACGTTGCTCAGTTAAGAGTGTAAGGTGCACCTCAGTTTCCCAACACAAGTGTTTCTTTCCTTTGACACATCATCAGCATCAAGAGAGATGATATAATCTGTGCAGGTGGCACGTCTACACTTGCGTGCTGCCAGAAGAAACTTCCCATCATCATCACTTAATGCTGCAAATTGAAAAGAAGACCAAAGAATGAAGGAAAAAAAGTATGCTCCAGAATTTAACACAGAAATAATCTAACTTCATCTGCTCCAAAAACGTAATAATTCAGCCTTCATAAAAAGGACTATATTCTCACCGTTAGTTAAACTGAGAAACAAACAATATGTCTGGGTTGACCTGTTGCGCTTTATGAAGCACCGGAGGGGATTTTCCCTCGGGCCATGCTGTCAAAATTTATCACAAACTGTAACCAACATGTTAAATATCTTGGAGGGCAGGGCAAAATAAATTGAATTGATGTCCTCATTAGCAAAAAGACAAGCACAATAGTCACATCATATCCAATCATTGTCACCTAAAACCAAGGGAATCTTGGAGTAATGTCTTCGAGGGCAGGCAAACAATAAATTAAAGCATTCAATGAAAAAGGAGTCATAGGTAGCCACTCAATTTGCTCCTCAGTTAGAGGTCATTATCATTTTGCTTCTTGGTCTGAAAAATGGGGATGGTCCCAACTCCCAATGAAGGTGCTTCGTTGACACAAACCGAGCAAAAACATACTACTTCTGGTTCTAATTATAAGAGCCAGTTGATTAATTTGAGGAGATTAAGAAAGTAAGTTGAGTTAGTTATTTATCCTAAATAGGTGTTTCCTTTTCTAAAATATCCTTGCTAATCAAGTGTATTGACTAGAACTCTTATTATTACAAGGGTTACTTTAGAAAAAAAAATATAAATATGAGAGACAAAACGAATTGGAATTTTATATTTAGGACTAAAATAAAAATCAAATAGGGTTTTATATTAAAGACTAGAGGTAGTATTATATTCTTGCCAAACCAGAATTCAGATATTCTACTATTGTAAAAATGAGTGCAGATAGTGCTGTTGGGGAGAGAGATAAAGAAAAAGAGATGATAAATGTTTTTAAAAAAAATCATATAAATGGCTATATATAATAGAAGGATTTTTTTCCTCAAAGGAGGATAAAGAAAAGATATGAACTTTATGCGTGATCACACTCTTTTCTATATATGAGTGTATAAATGTAAAGAATCTAGATAACATCACTGACCAAGGTTCACAGTAATAACAATGGAGATGCTATGGTGCTGCCAAAAATGATCCCTGGCAATGCCTTAGTAATTTCCTTTAACTTCCATAAAAAGAAAAAGCTTCCTACACTAGAATATTAGGATGACAGCATTGAGGTACAGTTCCCAAGTAGTAACACTGCTGAATATTTGCTGAGCTGAAATATTACTCAGAACGACTGTTCTCTTTCTCTCTCACACGATTGTGGGTTTGCATGTATATTTTCAGAATTTTTTTTGAGCTTCGATGTTATCTATAACGTTTATGATAAATTAGCCAAATTATATACTAAATATGGAGGAAAAAAACAGCGCGTGGGTGTAAATTTACTGATGAAACAGGAATTAACTGTTGATGTCGTAAATGATTGAATTGAAGAAAAGGAAAAATATTTAAGAAAACAGAGATAGAAGAAGCAGAACAGAGTATTAATCAATTGCCAAACAAAACCAAAAAAATCTAAAAATATGCTAACAAACAAGACAAGAAATGCTAAAATCTTGCTTATCAATAAATAGCATTCATCCTCAACCCTGGGATTCTTTCAAGAGAAACCGAAAATCAAAGAGGTGTTGAAATCATGCATACTGAAAAAGAGATGTAAAAGAAGGAAAAAATTTCTCCAGCCAGCATTTGGTCCAATGGTTCTGCAAGGCATGGCTCACAAACCTGCTTAACAGAGATGGGGAAGGTGATATTCGAGGAAACTTGAAGCGTGTTGACGATGCTCTTAGTGATGAACCTCCAAGTGCGGCAGACACCGGCGCAAGCCACCACGCTCCGGCGAGCAGGCCAAGAGCTTTCGGATGCTTCGATTCTGGCCAACACTTCTCTGAGAAGCTCCTGTGGTATGTTGGCCCAGCAGCTCTGCTTCAGGCCATCGGTGACCACCAGCTCCACCGAACCGTCCTGTAACACCCGGTGGGACCTCGATCTCATATCACAGGTTGTGCTCCTGATAATAGGCATTGATACGGATTTTGGTAGTGAAGATGAAGACAATGCGCCAATTTCAACGTTGATTCAGAAACGCTCTCCAGGAAAATATGCTTTGTGGTGTGCGTTATGCCTCCTGCTCGGAGAATTCCGGATGGGACCAGAGCTGAAGTAACAGTGAGAGAGAGAGAGAGAGCTAGGTAGTTGGTACTATAACCAATCGCACAGAGGTTTGTGGATTGGAAGGAAGGCGGGTGGGGGAACGGAGCTGGTTTCCATCAGATCTCATGCTCAAAAACTATTATCCGTGGGCACTCTCCCTGACTTTCTTGTTGACCATTTAATTTTGATTTTGTTTTCATGATTTCAAATCTGATGTTTGTTTTTTGTATTTTCATAAATACTTGGTTTGAATTGATGTAGTTAAGCATCCGAAATTAACACTCGTTCAGTCCATATAGTTTTAAGTTTTAACAAGTTTTGATTTAGTTCCTAGGTACGTGACCGTGTTAAGTGTTAACACTCAAACCAAATCTTTATAAAATTATAACAACTAAAAATCATGATTTGAAATTATAAGAATCAAAATTCAATTAAACTATAAGGATTAAAAAATAGAATTAACTCTGCTTATTTTTCTTAACAAAATTTATGTTTTACTTTTTCTCCCTTTTTTTCAAAGGATGACACCAACAGAGGCAAATACCGACACAATATATTTTAATTAAAGAATTTTCCAATTTCTTAATTTATTTCAACGTATGGAATACATGACTGGGAAAGTGGTTGGCTATTATTATTAATTGTTCATGGGATAAATTAAAGTTAGTTGATTCATTTAACTGTCTCTGAATGCCTGTTAAAAAAAAAAAAGTTTGGGTATACTATTATAAAAATAGTTATAGATATGTTTTATTTGAGTTAAGATAAAACTCATTTTATATATTTACTTTGTATTTCGTAAATCATGATTGAAAAGTTATTTATAAACCACTCTGAACATTCTGTAATTTGTTTGGTTACCTTCTCATCTTAAAAGATGAGTTGAGGAGAAAGGACCAATGTCCCCGTTTGTATTGCATGAACAATTCAGAAAGTGAATCACCAAGGATGCATCTCCTGCAAAATCAATTTGACTTCTCGCTCATCGCACTTACCTTTCATCTGTGTGTGTGTGTGTGTGTGAGTGAGTGAGTGAGAGAGAGAGAGAGTTTCTATTTTCTGTTGAGTCTAAATTAATAACTAAGATCATTAAAAATGCATAATATAATGAAGTATCCAGTGGCACTGTATTGGCCGGTGAAAAATATCTCTGGGAACAATTAATACTAATTTACGCGGACGGCGTGCATATATTTAATTCCATGGGGTGTTTGATAAGTGAAGTTAGATAGCACAGTAGCATTGATAAAATTATCTTTAAAAAATTATATTTTATTTTCATGTCACTAAATGTTATCAATTACTGCCATGGTAATCAAAGTCGCGTTTCAACACATTAAACTCGCCAATTTCACGTTTTCAACTCAAGAAAATGTGTTAACACGCATATAAAATCCTATTTATTGAAAACTCGTAAATAATGGCTTGTTACTCGTTCAAACTCAGTGAAATCGTATTAACTCGGTGATTTATATGCGAGTTTGAAACTAACAACAAAGCTCATTGCAAGCAACCAAATTTTGAAGTTTTTTCCTACTCCACTCAGTGTGTCATAAAAAATATTTGAATATTTAAAGAAAAATCTATAGAATAATATTCCCAACTCATAAAATTTTAATATACAACGATAAAATCATTTTTGTTAAAAATACGTAAAATATTTATATAAAAAATTGAAATATTTATACAAAAGCATGCATAAAAGACAGTTAAATTATTTAACTGTAAATACCTTTAGAATATTGAAAAATCCAACTCAGTGTTCTAAATTACAATTTTTATTAAATTTATAATTATTTTATTATTTGATTATGTATATTGACTTCATGTATGAATTTCATAATAATATCTATACTGAGTATGATAAACTATGAATGTTGACTGGTTTAATTTTCATTATTTGGGTTTAAATTATATTTTAACTAAAATGTGGTCATTTTTTATATTTAAATTATTGAATTATCTATTTTTAATAGTTATTTATTAATAGGTGTAAACTGTTACGAGTTTACGATCTGAATTCATAATTCGAGTTTATATACCTATCATGAGTTTATTTAGACCCGTGAGTTTGAAAACCTTGATTACTGCTACTGTTGTTACTTTTTATTGGACGATTAGCCAATTTTTTTACCAAAAATAAATACGGAAGGGTTCCAATAAAAACCATCTATAACCACAGAATATATATTTCGAGATCTAACCGAACTGAATTGATGAAATATGATCACCTCCTCCACGGCAGAAATAAATCTGTTAGGTGCATGTTTAACCTGATCCTCTATTTTCAGTCAAAAACTAATGATCCAAAACTAAATTTAGGGTTCTGATACTGGCTAATCATTAAGACAAAACAGAACGGTCCCCCCCAACAAGTGACCTCTCACTAACCTCTTTGTTGATTTTGTTCTGATGATTTGAAAAAAGCTTAGAACTTCATAAGATTTACGGTTAAATTAGTCATGTGGGCCGTAATGAGTATTTATGTTGTGAGCATTTGCCCACAGGTACATAAGGGCGTCAATTTTGGCACTATTCACTCTCAGCTTAAACATTCGAATAAAGTTGTAAAATCAGAAATAGCACATGGATGAAAAGCTGGAATCTTGTACTCAAATCATAGTATCCGGCTTCACAATTTATTAACAACTCAAGTGAGGACACCACTAAGAAAATGAACCGAGCAGCCCATCTCGGGACATAATACAACAAACAACAACTATTCCTTAATTATTCATGGAACTCCTGCAAATTCTTGATGCAGGGCATAAATGCAACAGAAAATCGAAATGAATTGAGCAGCCATGGCAAAATATTCAATTTATAGATAAAACAAAATTTTAAAAGCTTTTGGCTGAATTCTCTTACATGAGACTCAAAGAGAATAATCATACAGAGGAGCAGGCAGGAAGGGAAATGGTGCGACAGAGGCATACGCAACAGGTGGACGTGCTGGTGTTCCTTTCATGTGCCTCTCCTTTTTCTTTCCGGGAACATTTTCCTCATTCTGAACAGAAGTTTCCATGCAAGACTTGGCAGCATTGTCTGCCATAAGCTGGTTATCAGACACACGGTGAATTAGAAGCCCTGACATGAACACGGGGAGATAAAGAAGACTGGCGTAGAACATTCTCCTGGCCTTTTCTTTTGTACGATCTCTATAGAATGAGAATGCTGAAGCCGTTATTGCAGCAGTAAGGAACAACGACTCGAGACAAAACCACCCAGAAGTCACACCCCCTGTAGACAAGTTCAGAAATATCAAGTGTTAGGATTCTTCTACGGACCACATTCATATTAAATGCATGATACTAAGCAGCGATGACTCTTATTTTAACAAGAATTTCTTGGTCCGCAGCTTAATTTCATAGGGAGATTAGCAAGGTCCCCCCTGACAGTATGCAATCAACATTTGCAGTGCATAGTCAGAAGACAAATTCGAATAAATACAAATTGTTGCTAGGAGTTGGAAATAGCCACTCACAATCATAGGCCAAGAATCCCAAAGGGATCAGATAAATAGAGTTCCTCAAAGCGACTGATGCTGTTCTCAGACCAGTTGGGTCGGCAAGTGAGTACATCTTAAACCTGAATTTACAACACATTAACCAATAAGTAGATGACATTATATAGGGTATAGACCACCAACAAAGCATGCAAGAGCAGCAGAATGAAATCCATCCACGTCTGGCATTAAAAGAACTTTGCCTATTAATATGACTGTTCACTATTTGAGGAATTAAATTCAGGGTCAATTACAATTCTCCCCTAACAAACGTTAGAAAATCGGGTAAATTTTGATATAATACATAAAATAGAAGTTGTATATATATTTTTCCAATAAACGGGAGGACCGTGTACTTTGAGCTTCTCTCAGAGGAAGGGGAGCAATTTATTCTAAAGTCTTAAATTTATGAATCTATCCAAATGGCATCAGCTTAGATGGTCATAACCATATACGAATTACTAACTCCCATTCCGGAACAAGCCTTGGGAAGAGAACAGGTAGTTGATGCAGAAAACATAAATTTCCCCCTCGAGACAAGTCTCCATGAACAAAGGAAGTCACCACACAAACAAAATTTGATCGAGGGAGGCATCAAAAAAGTTGCATAAACAATAATTTATCAACATAAATAACTACATTTGAGCATACCCTCCGGCAGCATAATCACTGCGGCACATGTAAGCAAGGGCCATGAAATGAGGTATCTGCCAAAAATACAAAGCAGCTGGAAGAATTAATGCATTTAGTGAAATATCACCAGCAGCTGCAGCCCATCTGAAAACAGAACAGCACAAAAAAGGAAAAAAAATGGTTAGAGGTATAAGAAACCATGCACATACGTGTAAACTAGAACGGGATGAAAGACGATGGAACAAAGGAAGGGAAAACACCCAATTAGTGAACCTTTCTACTACATTTAATCATTAAATATAGATGTAAAGAAACTTCCTACAATGTGCCAGCTCAACAACTACTCTAACTTTATTTCTTCAATAAACAATTGCCTTTACCTTGAGTTCATTTTCTCAATCATGTTTATAAGTAGCTGCAATCATGCGGTTAACAATTGACAATTGCCATGCATTAGAGGAACAAAAGAAATCCTGTAGAGAATTTACCCCAAGAGTGGCGGAACAGCACCAACAACAGCCCCCACCCAAGTATTCACAGGATGAATCTGCTTCAGTGGAGTATATACAAATGCATACAAAACGAGGTTGGAAGCTGCAAGCCCAGCAGCCAACATATTAGCCTGGAACAACCTTGTCACAAAGCTGCATTATTAGTTGCTCAGGTCGAAGCACTCCAAAGGGTTATCATAAGACTAGAAAAATAATAATAATAATAATAATGAATAAATTGGTTTTTCTACCTTTGTTGCTATCAGAGCTGTGCCGGCTAAACCAACAGATGATGCCCAGTTGACTGCATGTGGTACTGTAATGCGCCCTGATGGTAGTGGCCTTTTGCTTGTTCTCTTCATTTTGGCATCATTATTTATCTCAAACACCTAATACACCAAAATCATCACATAGGTTCAATGTCAACAAAGTACCAAACGCAAAAGGTGGGGACAACAAAAGACAAGTACTTCAGACTAAAGCTAGTAAAAAGATCAACAACAACAACAAGCCTTATCCCACTAGGTGGGGTTGGCTACATGAATCACACAACTAGTAAAAAGATCAGAGTAATATTAAATATTCCTGATGGAAAGATAGAGAGTCTAACAAGGTTTGGTTTATTATAGATAAGATATTCTTCCATCATATATGTGTCTGCTACCAATCCCCTTCTTTACCATGTCTAATTCAAGAGAGTAACATTATATCACTGCAAACAATTCATTTGAATCCTGATGTCTCACCCAAGCCTTCTGTCCTTCGTCAATTAACTTGGCTTCATTTATGAACAATAAATTGACAATGGATAAGGCAAATTACCGCCATCCACATTTCACATATTATTATGATATTATGATGAATATGACGAATTTGAGTAGGTCTTTTCCAGCATTCCTGCACCTACTGAAGTCTAAATATTCTATGCTTATTATGTATTTCTTCATATTAATCTTTGTGATCCTCAAATCTTGATGGAAGGCAAACCGTGTCACACAGTACAAAGAAGTGGTACAGAGGAGAAACAAACAAGACACAATAGCGAATGCACTCTAGAGTGATAATTATCCAAAGAAACCAACCTGATTTAACGAATTAGCAGATGCAGCAACCATCATGGTACCCATGCAAGTCCAACATAGTGCTGGAAAGTCAACAGCACTGCTACTGCCTAATACAAATCCAGTCCCAGACGTCGCAACCACAAGCAAGCTGAAACCAATTAGAAGGGGATAAGTTGAATTACAAAAGCATTGATTCATTTCAGCATTATAACTGCTACCAAACAATGATGCTGAGTGGATACAAAGATGCAAAAATGCAGAATTGGAGAAAATTCCAAGGGAGCTAAAACAGAAGAGACTATTGATCTTATAAAAAGAAAATAAGATAAAACAAAGCAGAAAAATTGTGACTCAAATAAATACAACTTCCTCCAAGAAACCAACATCAACAAACCAGTTAATATCAATTCATAAAGTCTCAAAAATACAAGAAATCTGAAAATTAAGATAGTAAAGACAATATAAACTAACCAAACCAACTTAATTCATGATAAACATGTGCATCGTCTTGAAATAAGGACAAAGGTATCTTGTACACCAAGGTATTGGGCTCCAATGCATAAGGTAACATTGTAAGCATTGTTCTCATGTTTGGCAGGACACAAAGCTATTATAGAAGGATGCGGTCAGTAGTTTTTTAAAAAAAAAAGGACGGTTGACAACGCTATAAGTAGCGTGATAGGAAATCTCCTAAGTTTTAGGGTGGTTCATATAACGGTCTAAGCTAGAACCTCTTGGTAATAATGGAGGACACAAAGCATCTGATATAATAGTACGCTAGACATAGGCAGCTTGGATAAAGCCTAACATCCAAGCTATCAAGATCAGGATATTAGTGTACCCGAATGCCTCCAAATGCAAACTGGGAGGTTGGGGGGGGGGGGAGTGAACAAAAACTTCCTTTCATGATGAAGTCTTCTAATTTTTGTCTAGTATTCCTATATTTCTCAAAGGCCACTTTCGTACTTTTGTTTCTGTAACTGTAAACGAGAGTCACCAAATTCAAAATTGAATGAGAATGCTAAAATATAAACACAGTGCTACTGAAACAAAGGTCAACAAAACAAGAAGTGTAATACTAGATGAAACACAGGGAACTGTACAATCAGTCTTCAGCCCATAGAACCTGATAGTCAGACATCAGACGAAATGCCGTCAAAACAATAAGAATATGAATTTCAGAAAATCTGACCTGAGACGAGCTTTAGAAAGCTCCCAATAGCACCGACTATAGTGACGAGTCAAGTCCACAATTTCCCTCGCTTTAGAAGCGGAAGCTGAGACAAGAGATGTGAGATCCACTGCGCCGGCAGAAGATGAGGAAGCAGAGACAGCCGGAAGGCCATCGGATTTAGTAAGTCCCAGTTTCAAGGAATCGAGGGAGGAATTGGAATCGGGAACAGAGGATGACGAGTAGAGACGATGAGAGTGAGAGAGCAGACAAAGACGAAGAACGCCATCAGTGGAGAAAGAGGGAGGGTTGATGTTCCGAGAGGAATATTGGAGGAGCTTGGAATAGAAGCGGAGAGAACTCCTCATCGCGCCGAGCACGCGGACGGAGAAGATGACCAATCGCCGAGGAGACCAGGCCTGAAAAGTGCAAATGCGAGAATAGTCCAATGTGAGTTTTACATTTTTCTTGTTTTTTTAAATTTTTTTTTGGCTGCTTCTTTTTAGTCCTTTTTTCTTAATCTAATTGGGCTGCTTTTAACTTTCCTTATGGACTTCATAAAAAAAACTTCCTAATGGACTTTTTGTTAGGCCCAAAATATTCTTCACTAACACTCTCCTGAATGACTTTGGGTTCAATTCGAGTCAGAATAGTAATGGACCAGAAGGGGCAGCTTGGCAAGAATCCCATTATTCAAACTCAGGTGAGTCTTTTTTCCTACTAAAAATTATACTACCTCCACTCTTAAATATAAAAATTAGTTAACTAATTTAAGTATATTAAAAAAATAAGTTAAGTTAGTTACGGAATCAGTTTCAATGATCATCACTTTGATGAGCACCGTAAGATCATCAGATTTTGATTGTTTATATCTTATTTGGATGGTCTGAATGCGATTTTTTTTATTTGTTTAAAATAATTATTTTAATATATATAGAATTTAAAATAGAGATAATTTCTTAACTATTATTTTAAAAAATAATTTTTTCTATTTAAAATATTTAATTAAAAGTTTTAAATCTGGACCATTCAAATCACATATGGACGGTCCAGATTTGATGAGTTTAAGGTATTCACTAAGATGATAAGTACTGAAACTAGTTCTAGTTAGTTATTTGTAATAAATAGATATTATTTTTTTCTAAAATATTCTTACTAATCAAGTATATTAGCTAGAACTACTATTATTAGGAGGATTACCTTAAGAAAAAATAGATAAATATGAGAGACAAAGTGAATTAGGGTATTATATTTAAGATCAAAATAAAATTCAAACAAAGTCATATATTAAGGACCAAAGATAATAGAATAATAATATTAATTAATTTTTATATAAATATTTTAAAAAATATTTTCATACAAAATTGAATCAATTTAGACTATGCATACTCGTTCACAAGACTAGCCCAAAGAATTTTCAAAATGGAATAAAAATTTTTAATAATAAATTATGTATGTATTTAAAATGAATTCAACATATTAGGCCACATATATTTAGTGATAAAAAAGATATAATATTTATTTATATATTGGACAGAAAAGTTTTCAAGCTTGTTTTAATATTTGTTCAAATTATATATTAACAGATTGCCAAAAGATGTGAATGTAAGTCTACGCATAAAATAATTCTATCAACAAATTATTGGTTCAAACGATGAGCAGTCTCATCCCGTAAAAATAAGAAAACAAGTTAAAATTAAGAACAAAAAAAAACAAAGTCCGAAACGCAACATCAACAAAAACAAAACAAACCAAGTTAAGAAAGACATTTTAACTTCAGCAACATCATTATGATCAGATTCACAATCCTTGCACAGCAAGGCTTGAAGCAAAGATGGGGTCGTAAAACCCAATCTTAAGGGCACTTTTTTATAAACCATGCTATTCACGAAATCATAAAATAATACCATGACTTATGCTTTAAATTTGTTGTAGAAAAAATATCAAACGTTTTGTGTGGCTCTTTCTTTTAGAAAAGATTCTTGAAAGCATGCCTGGGATATGCTTCAAGTAAAAATTAAAAACGTAATATGGGTCAGTCTAGCACTCATTACGGCGAATTTTTAAAGTGAAAGCTGTAAAGAAAGTAACGATAGAACCCTTCATATGACATAAAGTGATGAGACTGCTGATCAAAGGGAATCATAGGCTGAAAATGAACGTGCAGTGGTCTTAAAAAATAGCAGTGATAATTTTGATAATAAATCCGATTTAAATATAAAACCTATTTTACATTATTACATTACAAGATAGATATTATGTTTAGCACTAAAGGACCCTATTTTACATTATTACATTACAAAATAGATATTATGTTTAGCACTAAAGGAGTATTAGGTAGTAACAAACATGGCGTGCACCACATTATTCACGACTAATGTGTAATTACATCGGTAATTAACTCATTATATTATCAATAATATTGATTGGAAACCGACCTATTTGTGCTCTATGAATAAAAGCTCATTAAGGGCTCTCTCAGAACACACAAGAACTTAATTGTCACTACGCAGAGACAAAAAAGAAGAATGAGTTCTCTTGGTGTCTCAGTGGCAGCTCAGTGTTGTGCATTATTATTGGTGGTGCTGGCAGGAACAACAATATCAGTTTCGTACGGCCAGTTAGATGCTTCGTTTTACAAAGACGCATGCCCTACGGTGCACGAGATAGTACGGGAGGTTGTTCACAATGCTTCCAGAACTGATCCTCGTATTACTGCCAGTCTCATCAGGCTTCACTTCCACGATTGCTTCGTCCAAGTATATATCTAGTTCTTCGTCTCCTGCATATACTATTCTCTAATTATATATATCGCGTTTATTTATTTGATGGGTGCGTGATGAATACTTAAAGCTGAATCTAGTACTTTTCTTTGTCGTTGTGTTGACTTGTCCTCGTGTTTCTGAACTTGTATCTGTTATATAACTGCCTAGTGTAGCGAGAAAAGGAAAACACACAATATTGTATTGTAATATTAAAGCTGAAAAGTGCCTAGATCAAACTGTAATTTATAATATGAAAGTGGAAAGTGAAAGCTTCGACAAATTAATAAGTGATCAGGCAGGGTTGCGATGCACCAATATTATTGAACAAGACTGATACAATAGACAGCGAGCAAGAAGCTTTTCCAAATGCGAATTCAATCAGAGGATTGGATGTTGTGAACAACAGCAAGTCTGCGGTGGAAGCAGCTTGCCCCGCCACCGTGTCTTGTGCTGATATTCTCGCCCTTGCTGCAGAAATCTCTGTTGTCTTGGTACTTTCTTCTCCATATACTATGTCCGGTCTTTAATATAATAATTAGTTGACTAATTTGAATAAATTAAAAAAATTAGTTAAGCTAGTTATTTGTAATTAACATGTATTGTTTTTTATAATGTATCTTGCTAAAGTGTATTGACTAGAACTATTATTATTACAAAAACTACTTTAAAAAAAAATAGATAAATATTAGAGAAATAATGAATTGGAGTCTTACATTTAGAATTAAAATAAAAGTCAAACAAATTCTTATATTAAAGACCGGAGCAATATATATACAATTCAACCATACTCTCATACGTACGCCCCTCATCAATCTTTTGTGTGTGTGGAAAGAGTTGGGGTTGATCAAATACATTTTTTGCAAATAATTAAGATATCAAAATGTCATTCATTTTATATGGAGTCTAATAATAAAAAGTGAAAAAAACATTTGGAAAGAGCTTCAAAATTGAAGGGCAAGTGGCACCCCCAACCAACCCATGTGGAAACCAACTTTTAAAACCCACCAAACCCAAACGTTAACTCTTATCGAGAAAGGAAATTAATGAAGAGGACGGAATATTTATTTTTATTTAGATGCAATAGTAAATAAAAGCAAATGTGGTAGGACATGAAAACACGTAGGGGCGCGTTGATTGGGAAATATGTTTGGTGAAATATGCAAAGTAAAAGTGGACAATGACAGGCTAAAGGAAAAGGCTGGAAAGTACAGCTGGGAAGAAGGGACAGCACCAACGCCAATCGGACACTCGCAAATCTGAAAATTCCAGGTCCCTCCCTCTCTTTGGATCAGCTTAAATCCGGCTATGCTGCTCAGGGCCTCGATCCTACTGATCTTGTTGCTCTCTCTGGTATCTCTCTTTCTCATCTTATACTAGTATTATCTTTCTGCCCCCAAAAGACTAACGGCCATCCCTTTTGTCAACTAGAAGTGACTAAACAAATAATTCTTTTCATGAGTATATATAGATCATATCATAAGTGACAAATCGAATCATTACTAACGAAGTCTGATGATATTGGACTTGTGTACTTTCAGGTGCTCACACATTCGGAAGAGCACATTGCATCACATTTAAGGATAGGTTATATAATTTCAGTGGCAAAGGCCAACCTGATCCAAGTCTCAACTCAACTTACCTTCAGAAACTGCGACTCGTGTGTCCTCTCAATGGAGATGGCACCAACATAACCAATCTTGACCTCACCACTCCAAACACGTTCGACAATAAATATTACATCAACCTTCAACTTCACAATGGCCTCCTTAACAGTGATCAAGAGTTGTTCTCCACTTCTGGTGCAGATACCATCGCCATTGTCGATAGTTTCGCCGCCAGCCAGTCCCTTTTCTTCACTCAGTTCGCAGCTTCCATGATCAAAATGGGTAATATCAGCCCCTTGACTGGCTCTCAAGGTGAAATTCGATCTCACTGTAAGTTTGTCAACTCAGATTCCTCTCGATTCATTACTGCCGTCACTTCCACTAAAGAGTCTGATGAACATGTTCTCGTCAGCTCAATCTGAATAAGTTGATGATCGATTTTAGGCGTGTGCATGCCATTTGCCTGTGTACTGTGTTTTGTGGTCATATTCCAGTGGTAGTAAGTAATAATAAGCTGAACGTGTGTGTTTTATGATAAATCTATTTGACGGGTCTGATTTTGCCACTTTTCTACGTGCATTTATTAGTGAAAAGATAAAGAGTAACATAACATCTAACACGATGCACCAAGTATCATAATCCTATTTATAGTGTTTTTAGCATTCTGGTGTTATTTTTCAGGTGTATCTATCATTTCTTGATGTTATTTTTTTAGTTACATCTAGTATCATAATCTTATTTATGGTGTAAGAGCGGGATGTACAATAAATAAGATTAGATTGTTGAAACTTGAAAGCACAAAAATAAAATAAAATAAGGATATTGGAGGGCACTGGACGAACCTAAAACATTAAACTAATGGAAGCTATTTTACTCAAAAATAAATCCCATACTCTTGCTTCCTTTTTTTTTTTTTATCCCTCGGATCGGCTTCCCAGGGAAATCATATGATGAGGCAAATTTTACTAAAATAAAAATTATGTTGTTTATCATCATTTTATTGCACGTAATAAGGCGATAATCTTCTGACAAAAAAAAATAAAGCGATAATCTAGTTTTGGGATTATAGACTGAACAAATATGTTAAAATTTAATTGTTGATCTTTGGGCTCACCACTTGTATTAATATTCAAGCGTAGCCCATGTTTTGGACAAGATAAAAAAATTATGTATGATATAGCAGGAGTATAAATTCTCTAAAGTTGAGCATCATATAATTATAAATTATCTGAAATTTATTGTTCTAAGCACTTTTATTTTTTAAAAAAAACAGCCTTTATTAGATTATTGCAGCATTTTCTCATTTACATGTTTTTTTGCCAACGCTTATTTACATGTAATTAAGTTTATACAAAGCTAGCATCGACCGGCACCTTGATGATTGATTTGCCATTAATATTGGGCCATATCGTCTAACCGATGTGTGTGTGTGTGTGTGTTAGTTTCCACCTCAAGCCAAAAAAAGAAAAAAGAAAAAAAAAAAGGCAAACTTATCCAATTTTTCAATAGGCTGAACTGTCAACTTTGTTCTTTGTACACGGCAACAATGTCCTCTGCTAATTCACATCCTAATTAATGCAAGAACGTGACATGTTATAAGATAGAGTACTTCTTAGTTAATGATGTTCCAAGACTAAATTTATTCATCAAGATATTTATTTTTTTCCTCAGATAAGGCAGCTAGCATTTAATGTGTACTGAATTTTTCTTGTTAGACAGCAGCGTTTTAATTTCTGTGGACGTGTTGTTGAACGTTGAGAGTCTGAAAAGGTCCACTCCGCAAATCACGGACTAAACATAAAACGAAGCCGAAACTGTTGAATTGTATTGTACAATATACTCGTATCTATATTTTATTAAACGTTCATAGAAGAGACCAGTGTTCACAAATCATTGTTATGATTATTTAATTCCCTTAAAAGAGGTCGTTGATTTTAAGTATATCGCAACTGCCATAGGAATAATCAAACTAAGTCATTGTGCGAGCGAGAGGAATTTTGGCCTTGTTTGTTTTTTTTTTTGAAAACAGTTTTAACTAATACTCCCTTCAATCTTATTTATAATTTACAATTTTTGGGATAGAGCTTATCTTTTTTGTAATAAGTTACACTTTGTACATGTCTAAAATTTTTATTTTTATCAAATCGTTATCACTTTGTACCTTATATATTTTTGCTTGTTCTCTTTGGCCTAAATAAATAATGATATATTTGGAAAAGAAAAAATATTTTTTTACACATTTATTGTATTTTACCAATTTGTTTATATAAAATTTTATAGACATGAGTTTCTATTTTGCACGAAGTTTTAAACAAACTGCGTTTTGCAGGGGAAAAAGAAGTCTTGAACCATTATTTTATCAGTCGTGACGGTATTTTTACATTATTTTTTCCACTCACCTATTCATTGACTTACCGTATTCTATAGGATTTCCACTTCGTTTGAACTTTGAAATCGTAGATCCTTTAACTATAAGAGTCGAGAACAGTTAAACCTTGAGATTGACAAATTATTCATCCACAATACCATCATCAACCGAATTATGACCATGGCGAATTTTTCGCTTCCAAATCATCCTTAAAAAAGATGGTGCAATTATAAGGCTTTGACTTTTCTTCGTCTGCCTGAAACTATTGTCGTTTAGCCTGTAACTGGAAATTTTCAAACCCATGCACTGGCTGTTTGAAATTTCAAGCCCTCCTACAAAATAAGAAAGATTCTCTTTTGCTGTCAACCACCACCTCACAGCCCGCCACTACCTTGGACGTTGTTCCATGCATCTATAAAACCAGTTCTTCATCAGCTTTTTTTCTCAAACTCATCCATCCTCACAGCAAGCTTCAGAATTTTCGCTTCATTTAAGAGTTAAGAAAAATGTCATCCTTTCGGATTTCATTGTTGAGCCTTTGTTTGGTTGCTACCATTTTTGGAGCTTCAAATGCTCAGTTGAGTTCCTCATTCTATGCTACCACTTGCCCTAATGCTTCATCCATTGTACGTGGCGTCATTGAGCAGGCTGCTCAAAGTGACGTCAGAATCGGAGCCAAACTCATCCGCCTTCACTTTCATGATTGCTTTGTTGACGTGAGTTTATACACACACACACACATATATGTTGCCTGATATTAAATATGTATACTTTCAAACTGATATGTTATTGTGTGTTTCATTTGATGAAGGGCTGTGACGGATCGATATTGTTGGACGATGCCAATGGAATCTTATCAGAAAAGGACGCGATTCCCAACAGAAATTCAGCAGATGGATATCCTGTGGTTGACGATATTAAAACAGCTTTGGAGAATGTCTGTCCCGGAGTCGTCTCTTGTGCTGATATTCTAGCCATTGCTGCAGAAGCATCGGTTTCCTTGGTATTAAAGCTTTAAACTTGCAAATATGAATGAATTATATAATTGAGAGACGATAGTGTTATATATACATATATAATGAACTTAGACCTGATATATATAACATGCATGTTAATTATAATTAATATACAGGGTGGAGGTCCAACATGGACAGTTGAATTGGGAAGAAGAGACAGTACAACAGCAAATCAGGCCGCAGCTCAGCTTCTTCCAGGCCCTAGAGATGGCCTCGCCAATATCACTTCCAAGTTTTCTGCTGTGGGACTCGATACCACTGACGTTGTTGCTCTATCGGGTAATTTTCACACATCTAATATTAAAATAGTGAAATTAAACTAGCTAGTTTGTGTCTTATTAGGGTATTAAGTAATTATAATCTGAAGCTTTTTGACTGATTTGTCAGGTGCACATACGTTTGGGAGGGCAAGGTGTGTGCTATTCCGTGATCGTTTATTTAACTTTGAGAATAGTAACAGTTCAGATCCGTCTCTGGACTCTACTTATCTGGAAACACTTCGTCAGGCATGTCCTCAAAACGATGGTACCTTAAACAACCTAGATCCCACGACTCCCGATACCTTTGACAACAACTATTTCACGAACCTTCAAGGTGGCCGAGGCCTTCTCCAATCCGATCAAGAATTGTTCTCCACCGCCGGATCCGACACCGTTGCCGTCGTCAATAGGTTTGCGGCTAGTCAAAGCGAGTTCTTCACTAGCTTTGCTCAGTCCATGATCAATATGGGCAAGATTAGTCCCTTGACAGGAAGCAATGGGCAGATCAGGACTAATTGCAGGAGGGTTAATTAAACTTGAAATGAATTTATTCATGATAAGTTATGAGATTACTCCATTGTTTTTAATTTTTGAATTTCTTATAAGTTGATTCCACAAATGTACTTAGAAATTTGGAAAACTTGTTCAAGCTGAATAAAAGCAGAGAAGACAATATCTCTGCTGATTTAAATTCTATCGGGTTTGTAGAATTCTGTACCAGGGTCAAAGTTGATGTAATTGCTGAAGAAGGAATTGTCGTTGCATGAAATATATATTAGTTACGTTGATAAGGCAGTTTTTGTATGAGTACTTTGTGTGAATACGCAGTGTCAAGTTTTAAATTGGATCGAATCATTAGTGGTTAATGGATTTGAACAAATAATGAATCTATTATATTTTAAGGGGTTAAGGTACAAATTTGTGGCAAGAAAATTTCACTTGGGAACAATGTTGTCCCCAAAATTCAAGATTGCTAAGGAAATGTTAAAATTGAGCCATATTAACCCTTATCATAAAGATGTTAACTATCAACATCGATCACGTAGCAAAATAGGAAGTAAATGACTTGGGTAAGTGACGTGGCAGCATCCTTGCTGTTGGTGAAATGAAGGACTTGGATTGATTAGGTTGATAGGAAAATTAAGAGAAAATGACTTGCGATGAGATGTCCACTTGCTTTCCCGTTGATTAGTTTAGAGCAATAATATACAGATAAGGGTGGTGGGAGTGGCAGAGTTGCACTTTGTGCGTTGGATAGGACACATTGCTTTCGTTTTAAAGCAATTTGACCCACTAACTTGTACTAAGTATATATCCAAACTAGCTGGGACTCTTTTTACTGATTGAAATTTAGGTTTCAGTTGAAATAATTTATTGCTTGTTTGGATAAATTTATTTTTATTCAAACACGTGCTCCTTTATAGTCTAACCCACGTTAACTCAGAAGCTACGCTACACTTTGATACTGGATTACTCCTTGTTTAAGTAAATGCGCATTTAAAACTTTGACATAACCTTTTGTCCTCCATGCTAATGCTCTGCTAAAATCCTTTATTTCTTCTTTCTGCCTCCTATTGGCTTTGCCCATGTGTGCGTTTAGTTTTAACTTGTGCAACTGAACTCATTAATATGCTACGTATAGATATTTTTTCATTTCTGTTTTTTTTTATCAAGCCTTTTTATTTTTTAATTTAGTCTCCGAATTTTTTCATTGTTAAAATCCCTTTTTTTAATCTCTTTTAGGTTTAGTCTCTAAATTTTGACTCAGTCCAATTTAATCCTTGTAAGTACTTAAGTTAAATAAAGACTTGGTTGTTTAAATCAATATAAATTACAAGAATTAAGTTGTAGAGAGTTAAAGTTCATAAAGCTAAGTATTCAAACATTACACTTGAATAATTAATTCTCATCTAAACTCCAATTTGCAAACATAATTTGACAAACGTACGAACCCAGGCAAATGTTAATTAATTATCCGATGATTAGTCCTACATCCGCAGCGAATCTCACTCTCTGTCTATCTCTTACGTGGGATTAATATCAATCAAATTCAAGTACAGAACAAAAAATTAAAACCACACGGTAGAAGTATATAATTGTATACCTCTGATCTTTAATATAAGATTTAGTTTGATTTTCAATTTGATTCTAAATATAAGATTTTTATCCACTTTGTTTCTAATATTTATCTATTTTTTTCTTAAATAATTCCTATAGTAGTTAATATGTTAAAGAGTTACTGTCAATTTGTAATTCAAACACACATAATTAATATAAAGACATTTTAAAAAAGACAACAACTATTTATTACAAATAACTAACTCAACTAATTTTTTTAATCTTCCCAAATTAATCAATTAGATCTTATATTAAGGCTCAGAGGTACTACTATGAAGTACTATCACTTTAATTAATTATGTGAGCGTCTTCTCCATTATAAATAAGTTAAAGTGTTCTAGATGATATTGTACGTGTAAGCTAAAGTCGTGTTGTTGGGGTCATATGTGTGACGAACACACGACATCTCCCCTCAATATTAGTCCACAAATAAGCCGACAAACAGGCCAGGAGAAAAACAAAAAGCAGTAGGTTTGTTCATATATATCTGTGCTTCCTACTTTTGAATTTCCACAGTCAATAATATTGGCTGTATCAATATAAAAATTTCAATATTAATATTAATTTCAAATTTTTAGTTGGCCATAAAAATCTTTACAAACTTTTCGGTAGGCCAGAGTTCACTTGAGTGGATTGCAATTATTTGTAGTAGTAATATATAATTAACTTTAAAAAGGACTTACACTTTACATATAAAAAGTCCAATACTTGAATTGGAAGTTTAGAACTTGAGAGACAAAATCTTGGTAGGTATGCTAATAAAGATTGCTTTTATTAACAAAACCATATAATATATGTATGAATTGAACAATCAACGCGATCCCTAGAGCTAGCATGCAGCCAGACTAGATACAAACATATAACTTAAAATTCAAGAAAATTAGTTAATATTATATCAATCTTTAATATAAGAACTAGTTTAAATTTCAATTTGGTCATAAATATAAAACCCAATCCACTTTGTCTTTCATATTTATCTATTTTTTCTACAGTAATCCTTGTAATAGTGCATTTATTAAAAGTTTCATCAAATGGTAGTTCTTACTAATACACAAGATTAATAAAGGTATTTTAAAAAAAGATAGCACTTATTTATTATAAATAATGAACTTAACTAATTTTTTAATATAATCAAATTAGTTAACTAACTCTTATATTAAGTACGGTAATATTGTTTAAGCTTAAATGTCATGAGCACCAATGCAACAAATGTGGCGATATAGCTGCAGTAATGGTCCTTGTCTCATTGCATAGTGCTGAATAAGTGTTAATTCATTGACAAAAGATGTGAACGTACGTGTGGAAGTGTGCCTCTTAATTCAACTAAAGATCATAAAAGAGAAATAAAAAAGAGTAATGACATCGATGTATCACCCAAATTTGGTCGAAAAGAAAATATGGATCACCCAGAGAAAATAAACAATTAGGTGTGGACTGTAAATTTGTGAAATGTCTGAGAAGGATTAAGATTGAAAATTAAAATTAATAGACATTTATGAGCTGAAATAGTTGTTAATTAATAACACAGTTCAATTGCAAACTCAGAAATGCTTGGTTGCAAGTCTCAAAAACTTTGCTGTAAAATGTCAATATTGGGTAATTAGTTGCAGATGGACCATAAATCGTATAAATTTTGCAAATTACATAAGCTTAATTATCAAAGTCGGAAGACTAATTGGAAATAAGTCGGAAGACTAATTGGAAATAAGTCATAAATTATAAATTATAAATAAGTCATAAATAAGTCATAAATCGTATAAATTTTGCAAATTTTGCAAATTACATAAGCTTAACTAACTCTTTTATAATTTACATTTGATTCGAGACTAATCTTTAATTTTAAAATTTACAACTAAATTATTATGTTGCCGATCAAATTTATGATTTTTTAAATAACATTTATTTCTTTTAGTGGTTTTATATGTGTCATTTTCACAAAGGTAAAGCAACTTGATGTTTGTGGAAAAAAAATGAAACAATTCAAGCTTATTACAAATCCTACTAGTATTTTAAGTCTCATCAATAGATGGTATTGCCTTTTTGACTGGGAAAAAAAAACATATTTTTATATTGAATAAAATCTAATGACTCCCAGATTAAACCACTCCCAGCAACGCACCGCCTCATGGATATCATTATTTATTATCTAGGTAACCGAGTTGTATCAGCATTAATCACCTTCAAAACAAATACATTAATTAATCACCTTCAAAACAAATACATTAACCGGTCCAAAACAACCACGATGTGTATCCGATGATCTAAGTAGCAAATTAAAACTAAACGAGCTTCATACATTATAAGATGGGATTAATATGCTTAACTTGTTTAATTTGTGTTGATTTTTTTATTTGTTCTTTAATTTAAAGGGAAAACAATAACGATGTATTGCCTCGGATACTTAATGCAGGAGCAAGTTGAAGGATTATATTTAATTATAAACATAAGACCCTAATATATTTTATCACTTCTATTTATTTTTTAAAATTAATTTTTCTAACTTATAAAAGGGCACTTTAGAAAAATTATGCCTGTTACAATTAAATAATTTACTTGTTATCAACAAACTGTAAATTAAGATGGTAAGCATTTTCACCGGTAAAGAGAAAAATACAAATTGGAATCTCAAAATATATTTGTTAAGAGAGTTTTAACTTAACACTCCTGATCCAATAAAGATTAGTTTCAAATTTAAAATTATCTGGGAAAACTCTGACTTTACACCAAAAAAGTAATTTACTTGATTTCATTAATTCACACAAATAAAGAGTAATAGTATAAGTGATATCAAATCAGTCAATTCCCATTTAGGGGGGAAAAAACTTCATGATGATATTAAGTTATTACATGACTATTGTCTTGACATTTTAATTTATATGGTTTCTTCAGAGCTTTCTCAATCACTGTCATATTCATAACATAATATTAATATCGAATATCTAAGTCATCCACACGTTTCTCTGATCAAAAAAAAAAGTCATCCACACGTTTCCGGATTTGCAGCCAGTAAGAAATTTTGTATGAACCCGTAAGATGTAAGCTGTAGCCTTGTAGGGCCAGAAAAGTCAGCAATTTGGTGGTTCATCGTCCCTCAATAATTTGAATTTACTTATTTGACCTCATTTTGATAATAATCTAAAATATTTGTCAACTTCCATGATGCAAATATTATTCTTCGAAATAGAGTGAGATTAATTAACAACACAGTGAATCAGAGTAAATATACAGTAGTAAGATTTGCTTCTTCTCTTGTTACCCAATCTTTCTTGCTTTATTGAGTACCTTTCCCTTTATTACTTAATTGCCTAATGAACATATGGACCCCTACATATTTATCCATATTCATAATTAAAATTAGACTTCAAGATGATATTGATGCCGTATGCGGTGGATATTCTCCTCTTGTGAGGCCACAG